CATGGCATCCGGATGGATGCATGAATCCGGAAACCCGCATTCGAAGCACCCCCCCTCTCTCCGCTCCGACTTTGCTCCTCACCCCCCCCACGCCCCCCCACCACCATCCCCCCGAACCCTCGGGATGGAGGGGAGGCGGTGGAAGGAGCCACTCGACGGAGAGCGGGGGGAGCTCGGCAGCAGCCATTTTGCCACAGTCTGTCCTCACGGTGCGATTGGGTGGGGAGAGAGAGAATGATGGGAGGATGATGGGAGGATGATGGGAGTGTGTGTAATGGATGAAAAGAGAGACTGAGCAGAGGAGGACGTCTTAAAGTCAAAAGTGTAGCCAGTCGGTGGTCCCCCACGTGGGTCTGACCACACCCAGACTCCCAAACTCTGAGCTGAGAGCAGATTTGAGGCCTAAAAAGAACAAATCACTCTGTAAATATGCAGAAAAGGAGGCGTTTAGGTGTCGGTGTTATGCTTTTAAATGTCCCCCCCATCTTAAAATAACCCAGGGAGGGTTATGCACAGATCCCAAACAGGTGAAGAGCTCTGCAGACGTCAGGTCCAGAGAAGGAGGACAGGGAGGCTAAAAATAACCCCCCCGGCCAAAAGCTGACGCCATCAGGCCAAAAATGAGCCGTTCACTGAGTTAAAACGTCGTTAAAACATTATCTAACAGCAGATCTGAAATAAAGACAAACAGTTAATTTCTGCATTTGAGAAGCTTGAGCCTTAAAGAATGATTAAAAGGTTATTTAATAATCACATAACATATGTATATATAGATAAATATGATATATTTATAGCGAGATGGTTAGAAATGGATGCTCTGAAATGAAATGGAGAGCAAACACTGGCTGTGATTCCTTTTTAAAGTTAAGTTTAGATTTTTTAGAGTAGTTTATGTAACAGAGAGACCTGTTCAGAGGTCCAAAAAGGGTAATCATTTGCTATTTCAACCCTGACTGTTGAATATTTCTCTCCACAATTACCTTCTGACCAGGCTTTAATGTACAATTTGCATAATTTGAAGATACAGGGAAGAGATATGGAGAAAATGAGGCAATGCTGGTTACATTTTCAGATGTGGAAACATCTGGATGGACGGCACTGAATGAGGGGTGTGTGAAGAGCACATACAGTGGGGGAAATAAGTATTTGACCCCTTGCTGATTTTGCAGGTTTGCCCACTTACAAAGAATGCAACGATATATAACTTTAATCATATGTACATTCTAACAGTGAAAGACAGAATCCCAAAGAAAATTCCAGAAAATCACATCATATGAATTTATAAAAATTGATAACCATCTGATGAGGAAAAACAAGCATTCTTTGTAAGTGGGCAAACCTGCAGAATCAGCAAGGGGTCAAATACTTATTTCCCCCACTGTAAGTCCCTCTGCTTCCCTCTGAGTCTCACCCACTGCCAGGCCCCCGGGGGGGGGGGCGGGGGAAACAACTCTGTGCTTGTTTGTCCACTAATGGCCGCATTAATGTCGGAGCCCGGCTCATAATTGAGTCAGCAGGAGACAAATGGTCTGCTGAGCCAGCAGATTCTCCTCATCCCAAATATCTAACCAACACACGGATGGATATCCGACTCCGCCCACATCCAAGTCGGCCATTTTGATTAGGTCACCAATAGGAAGATCCCAGGAAAAGAAAATTCTAATTGCTTCATGGCAATATAGACATTCATTTAAAAATAGTGAAATGAATATTGCAAACACTGAATTAAACTCTATACATAATATTATGTTAAAATAGTGGATGTTAAAC